AATACACCAAACCTCCAAACAAATATCTTTATGCTGCCTTTGTGGATTTTTCATCAGCCTTTGACCTGATAGACAGAGAACGCCTATGGTATAAATTGGGAAAAACAAACATTGATAAGAGACTCCTGTGGCTCATACAGCAACTACATAAAGAAAATATGATGCAAGTGCATATAGGCTTACAGGGAGCTCTATCACAACAGATTCCCATTAGCCGAGGGGTGAAACAAGGTTGTATTTTAGCACCTTTTCTCTTCAACTTTTATATAAACAGCCTTATCCCTCAAATGGCTTCCCCCACGTTCTTCCCTCCAACCACTGGCTGTAGGAAGATCTCAATACTGCTCTATGCCGATGATCTGGTCTTACTATCATTGAATAAAATTGGTCTCAAAAGAATGCTGTCCAAATTTGGGCAGCTCTGTAAAGAGGAACGGCTAACAATCAACTACACCAAAACAAAAATCATGGTCTTTGGGAAGAGAGTACCTAAGTATAACTGGTCACTGGATGGGCATGCTATCGAGCAGGTACACTCATTTAAGTACTTGGGCCTTCAATTCTGTGAGAAACTCTCCTGGAGACAGCATTTACTTACTGAGCACCAGATCATCAGGGCAATTAAAAAGATTCTTCTACAGCAGAGGAGGCCAGCTGGTAAATCCTGCCCTCAAGGTGTTCGTTGTCAAAATTCCAGCACAAATGCTCTACGGGACAGAACTATGGGGAGAGACAGTCAAGCCCAAATTAGAAATCCTGCAGAACAAATTCATGAGGTGGATACTGGGGCTCCCCCCCAGGAACCCCCTTGGCTCACCTCAGAGCTGACCTAGGCCTAACCTCAATTGCAGCTAGAATCGATCTGGCCTATCTTAGATATTGGCATAGACTGAACAATTTGGAGGACTCCTCCCTGACAAAGTGCTGCTGGCTAGAACAACTAAAGTCTGGTGGATGGGCACAACAATGTCACCAAAAATTAAAGGTCCACTCACAATGCATGGTTCTATGCCCACTGCGTATCCTAAGAAGATCCTGCCAAGGAGTGACTAGATAGGAAGTTGTCCTGGGTTGATATGAAGCTTTCTGTGCTGCACTTTGGCATTTTCTACCAGCTGAAACCATTGCCAGAGCACAGGTTGCTGTCCTCTGAAGATGCCGGCCACAGAGACTGGCGAAACGTCAGGAAGAACAACCTTTGGAACACGGCCAAAGAGCCCGAAAAACCCAGAACAACCATTAGATCCCGGCCTTGAAAGCCTTCGCGAATATATTGAAACCATTGCTGTCAATCACATGGATATGCTTGATTAATCCAGGAAGGTGTTGTGACAGGTATCCAGGCAAGGTCAAATTAAGTTCATTTCTGTCCATAACACATCACACCTACCTTCGTCTTTATCATTACCCTCTTCCCTGACAGCCTCCTTTTTGTTCTGTTTGCAAAGTGACATAGTGCTGAATTGACAAGACATCAATTTCTGCATTACTGCTGCATCGCTTAACTGACATAGCACTAAACATTACACTTTTTAAAAAAATTTAATTCTTTTTTTAGGAGGTGACAAGGGTATGAAGGAAGTAGTGTTGCATTATCAAAGCCTGTCCCACTGAAGACATGATCGGAACATGTACCCACTCACCCTTGCCACCCTGCCAAACGACCAGTATGGGAGATCTGATAAGCCAGAAACTGAGGCATAACAATGAATGTGGAAACATTACAAAAAAAAAAAAAGCAAACGCTTCCAACCAAACAAAATGTAGCAAATAACCTTGGAAAAAGGCTAGGCTTACATGCTATTAGACTTGTGTCATGTAGTTGATGGAAAAAGCATCAAAATTACCAGTTCCATAAGGACTGAGGATATATAGCAAGATTAATGAGGTCAAGCCCTCAGTTGCCCTAAGAGAGAGACCGTTCCTGGGCATTAAAAAATGTTCAATTGCCAGAGCTGGCCCAGGATATGTTGCTACCTGTGATGGAACAGCAAATGGTGCTCTCCACCCACTTAGTTCCGGGTACATAGTACCCAAAAACAGCCACCTTATTTTGGCAATCCCACAAGTATCTCTTTAATAAATTAATTACATGAATACCTTTATCCAAATCTCCACGTTTCTTTTATCATCATAATTCTTTATTCATTGGCCATCTTTTAAATGTATCATTCATGTAAACAGGTTCTGGTGATCTCTGGTTATACCCTGCTAACTTGCTAGAGCAGAGAAAGAACCTTATTTTCAGTATATTTTGAACTGTTTTGATAACATGCTCCAGAACAAATTGATTTTTCATTAACGTAGGTGTCTTAGTCTAGTGTCTCAGCTGTGAAAATTCCACCTTGGTTGACCCTGTTTGGATGTTGTCAGGACCTAGCCCTCCTGACACCATCGCTCTCTGATTCTCTGACACAAACACCCTCGCCACATTAAGGTGTGCTTCCAAGAAGAGAGAAATGTATTCATATTCATGTGTGTGTATATTCTGAAAGAACAGCAAAATTGCAAATGTTAATAAATGGTCTATAAATGATGTATATCTAATCATATCAAATTATCCATTTCTGCAAAAGAATTAATAAACTACTGAAAGAGCTGCAAAACGGCAGATGTTAATAAATGGTGCGTGGCAAGTTCAAAGGAGACTAAAAGCCTTTTTATACCAATGATATAATTAACTTAGCTGTAATGCCAGTGATGGTATGGATAATTGCTTTTGCAGAGAGGACATGAGTTCTTGAAATAGACCGCATGCTGTAGAAATTCTAGGATTTCTGCAACACACAATAGAAACAGTTCAGCTATGCTCATGCTGTCCTCAGGTATATGTCCCCTCTTCCCATCCCCATCATGGGCCTGGATGTACCCAGATGGGATGGGGGGGGGGGAACCCTGTTTTATTCCCTGCTCTGGCACCACTAGAAAAACTAATGATATACTGCTGTGTACTTTTCTCTTTTAGAAGGACAAAAGGAGATACTTTTTCCTCCAGTTGTTCCCCAACACTCTAGAGCAGTGTTCCCAACCTTGAGTCCACAGATGTTTTTGGACTAAAATTCCCAGAAGCCTTCACCACCAGCTGTGGTTGGCCAGGATTTCTCAGCATTTAAGTCCAAGAACATCTGCAGACCCAATATGTGGCCAGGTCTTCCGGGCTATTTAAACAGAAAAATAGACAAATGAGGTGGAGGTGCACAGTATGTAAGGCATGTGACTCCAGTTTCAGGTTGGCAGTAGTGATGATGTTGCTCCATGTTTTAGTCAAAGCTTTACAGGAGCTATCTAAGGTGCAGAACTTGTTCAGGGTGGGTGGGTAGGGTTCAGCAATTTGAGCAGCTGATCTAAAGTTCAGAGTATAAACCAGAGCAGATTCACCACTCCCATGAAATCAGAGTCACCACCAGCCTCCAATGGCATGGGATGTTGAGGGTCACAAATGGTTCCCTAGGAGTTGCATGAAGTCTGTGATCCACACGTTGGCCCCTTGTCCTCTCCAAGAATGGACTAAGTCTCTGCTGGAAATATCTAGAAGTGAGGGTGATTTTCAGGCTGTTGCAAAGAACAGCTACAGAACAGTCCAGGCAATAAGCATAGATTTGACTGAACAATCAACATCTTATCTTTGAGTTTTCCATTGCTTGGGTTCTTCCCAGTTGATGTGCTTTGGTGCTATGGAATGAAATTACTCCCTTGTTCTCCCTTTTCAGGTCTCATACAGAGCTCAGCAAGGGGATACTAAAAAAGCAGTGTTCAAGATGATAATGGTTTGGATCTTGGCCTTTCTCCTCTACGGACCTGCAATTATCAGCTGGGAATACATATCCGGTGGGAGCATCATACCCGACGGGGAATGTTACGCTGAATTTTTCTACAACTGGTACTTTCTCATCACAGCCTCCACCATTGAGTTCTTCACCCCTTTCATTAGTGTGACCTTTTTCAACTTGAGCATTTACCTGAACATCCAGAAACGCACCAAAGTTCGCTTGGATGTGCTTAATGAGACTCACAGCCAGAGCTTCATGGAAGAGACTGAGATGAATCCAGAACCCAAGATCTCTGTTAAATGCTGCAAGTGGGAGCAGACAGAGCCTTCAGAAAACCTGGATGATCCAAAATGGGATGTCCAAGAAGAAAACACTAAAGATAATGCAAATATGAAATATTCCCAGGACTCTAATATGGGGAATAGTTTGTCTCCCAACAACAAATTGAAACCTTCCAGCAAAAAGTGCTATAAAGACTCGGCATCTACTCCCTCTTTAGAGAAACGGGTGAAAACAGCCTCCCAGAACATGTCCCAGCGTTTCCGGCTTTCTAGGGACAAGAAAGTAGCCAAATCTCTGGCAGTTATTGTAGGTATTTTTGGCCTCTGCTGGGCACCGTACACCCTACTCATGATTATCCGAGCTGCTTGCCATGGCCACTGCATCCCTGAATATTGGTATGAGACCTCCTTCTGGCTTCTGTGGGTCAATTCTGCCATCAACCCTATCCTTTACCCACTCTGCCACTACAGCTTCAGAAGAGCTTTTGTGAAACTACTGTTTCCCAAGAAATTAAAGATTCAGCCTCACAATTCTCTCCAGAAATGTTGGAAGTAAGCTCATTTCATCCGTTTCAGAGTAGAGAACACAGTCTCTCTAGCCTTGTTTTGCCCATTTGTTTATTTTGAAAGGGGTGAAAGTAGAGCTGTCAAGAGTTGGGAATGTGGAAGCAGGATGAAGAACCACATTCAGCTGGATTTGGGCAAGTAGGCTGCATAAATATATGTTCTCTTCATTATGCTACAGACCCAGGCTAGAATCCTGTTTGGGATACAAGGGAAATCACATAAGTGTTCTCCTTCTCCGACAGATTCCCAGTCAGGCAACTGGTCATGGAAGTGGCTGTGTAATCAGTCCCACAAGCAGTGCAAGACTTGGTTTGGAAGGGAAAGCTTGCTGAAGCCTGGGAAATGCTTAATGATTCCCATTCTACACCCATAGAATGCAACAGGATACTGATCATAAGCAGGTATTGCCTCTTCCCAAGAGCTTGGATCCAGTGTTGGTTGTTCTTAAAAGAGACCCATTGAAATCAAGGTGACTTAAAGTTGGTCTTGCATAACTTAAGTTCCATTGATTCCATTTGGTCTTCTGTAACAATGACAAATTCTGGATGCAACCCAAGGAAAGGAAAAGAATGTTCAGAGTTGGTGCAAAACATTTTGCTTCCTGAGATTAATGCATGAAGTGTCTTCAACAATGTATACACATGCTATTCCTGCTAGCTTCTGTCCTCTGAGTTAGCTGCCTCTTAGCACTTACAGTATTTGGGCAGTACTGCCTGTGGTTCATTGAAATAAAGTGATTAGCTGCCAAACTGTTATGGTTAGAACTGGTCATGGTTAGAAGTGGAAATTCCTTAAGTTCTGAGAATGCCTGATTGTCACAGCAGCAGCTTTCCAAATCTCCTGTCGTTTGCCCATTAGCTCGGTTTGTTTTGTGATTGGCCTTTCCAAGATAAACACAGGCTCCAACTGCATACATGATGGCTCATTCGTAAAGATCTGCCTGAATTGTATTTCTGGGCTGTCTTTAATATTTTCTTTGCTCTAATGCAAGCCACTGGAAAATAGGCAAAACAATCACTCGCAGATAACACATTTGGGGGGAGGAGGGTGCTCAAGAAAAAACAGCAAGGGTATTGGTGCCGTAGCTCAACACCTGCCAGGAGAGAGCAGCTATTTCACTCCACCTGGTGGTGTGATTCCCAGTGTGATGTAGAGGACAGAATGACGGACTAGGACTCCAGAGACAAGGGTTCGAATCCCCGCTCAGCCATGGAAACTCACTGGGGGAGTGGAGCTGGTAAAACCACTCCTTATATATATCCCACTTACCTTGAAAGCCCTATTAGGGTCACTGTACGTTGGTTCCGACTTGACATCACAGAACACGCACAGTGGTATAGCCATCCTTCTTATTAGCAGTAGAGATGAGCATGAACTGCTAAATTAATGGTTTGTGTTGGTTTGTACTTTGGCCAAAGAGATGCTCAGCGCTTCCCCGTACCGCCTTCTGTGACAGGTGCCCACTCAGAGGCAGCTCCCCTCCTCCAGGTTCCCTGCCCTTCCTTTTGCAAGTAGCCATTTCTGTGAGTTCAACCTCTTCCATTTGCAGAACAGCAGCACAACTGCGTGAGCAGGAATCCCCATTACTATACTGGGAGGCCTTTCTATTCAATGGAAGCCCAACAGGATCTTGGCCTGAATAATTTCCACCTTGTTAAAATTCCTCTTTCCCTTGCCTCATTCTATAGTCCATTCCATGCCAATCAGTGCAAAACAATGGAACAGGCCTCTCTACAGCTGCTCTTCCATATTTGCCATTGGGAAAAAAGTAGACCATATGAGGGAAATGGTATTATTTGTACAAAAGGATGATAAAGTTCAAGGGGAGGTAGGTCTTGATTTTATTCTGCGTCAACAACCTTTAGAAAGAATTGAAATGAAGTCATATATAAATATATTTGACCTTCATCTCAATTCTTTCTAAAGGTTGTTGACGCAGAATAAAATCAAGACCTACCTCCCCTTGAACTTATATATTCCTTATTCAGTCAAATCATATGCACACACTTGCAATATACACATATCCAGTATATGGACTGACTTAGATGAGTCATCTCTCTTTACAATGTCATGTCGGAAACACCTCTGAAAGGTAGAAGGACCTTCAGGAGCATTTTGTTAATGCTAAATCAAGCATCATAACCATCATTTGGTTCTGTTACTTCTTAACTGTACCACTTCAGAGTGCTCATGAGGGTGTCACATTTGAACGCTATTTTTCATATGACAAATTCCACAAGAAAGAGGCGATTAAATTCTTTCCAGGTTGGCTGCTTCACCCCGTAAGGCACTTTGTTGCTGCTTTCCCCTGACAATCATTTAAGATTCCAGACTTATATTTGAAAAGCATACTCAAGAAACAAGGATCTATTTCCTTGTCTGTTTTGCACTAGATTTCTAGAATGGGGGCAGGCTAATTTAGGGCTTTGTGGTGCATACAGAGAGGAATGGAAATTCATAAGAAGTTTCAACAGAAAACCCCCCACATACATCTGTGGTGGTTCCCTTACTCTGCCTAACGCTAGGGCCAGCTCTAAGTGACTTGATTAGTTGACAAATGAGTTGACAGCTGAGCAGAGGCAAAATGTAAACCAGGGGCTCTAAAGCATCATCATCCTGTTTGTCAAGTCAATTCTGATTTACAGTGACCCTTTTCAGGGTTTTCCAGGTAGAAAGTACTCAGAACTGGTTTCCCCTTTCCTCCTTCTGGGGGGGTGCCCTGGGATTGTGTAGCTTTGCCCAAGGCCACATAGATTGAGCCCAACTCAGAGGAGACACAGCGAGGATTCAAACTTCCAGCTCTGCAGCCTGATACCTAAACCACTGAGCTGTCCAGCCTCTAAATCATAAGGCTCCAGCTTATAGCAGCTATATTGCACTAGTGTGTGAGTTTTAAGGTCCTGTTCTGAAGTGTAGAGAGTAATTTCCTTTGTAAAGCACATTATGATTGAAGGATGAAAAGAGCAAAATGGTTATTACTTTTTGATGTGAGCCTAACATTCTTGTTGTGCAGACTCCTTATTATGTATCTACGGTAAAGAAGCAAAAATTCAGATTTGTCACACCGAGTCTTTGGAGGGAGAGAAAACAAGAGCTCCCGTTTGTCAACATTAATAAGTGCTCCCGAAACTCCGGATGTATTTTTGCTCTGGCTAAGTCACTTTGATCAAACAAGAATAATTTGTTCCTAAAACAGGTATCTTATAAAACAGACATTTTTACAAAGCCATCATTTCTAATAATGGGAAAACCGTGTTCTTGTGTAAAAGATTTTCGGTAACATAGATAGATAGATAGATAGATAGATAGATAGATAGATAGATAGATAGATAGATAGATAGATAGATAGATAGATAGATAGATAGATAGAAAGAAAGAAAGAAAGAAAGAAAGAAAGAAAGAAAGAAGGAAGGAAGGAAGGAAAGAAGGAAGGAAGGAAGGAAGGAAGGAAGGAAGGTTGTGAATACATTATTTCAAATCCCCTCCTTTCTATATTATGCAAGTTATTATATCTCTGTGCTTCCACTATCCTGCCCCATCTCACACAGCATCATCAGGGTTTGAGGGGGGCAGAAATTCAAGGCCTTACTTAGCAGAATGAATAAAATGACAGGCTTTATTTGCATCTTTTGAAGTAAGTGAAGCAATACCTCCTACTCTCTAGGTAGCAACCCCATTGTAAGACAATTGGCATCTAAAACAATCTCATGGCATTACTAGGGCTGACATCCTGTTGCCTAGCACATGAACATTTCTAAATTTCAATCCATTCCTAACCAGCAAATAAAAGATCTTCGTTGCAATTCTAGGTGTCATGACTACATGCAGCAAGCTGGAATGTGCACTCCCACCTCCGCAGAGACAAAGGTGGGGACTCTTTCTTTGCTAGGTAGAAATGGACTGAAAATTACGGATGTTCTTACACTTGAACAGCAAGATTTTGGCCAGCAGGCCATCCTTACAATGATGCAAAGTTTGAAAATGTATCTACACTACATAATTACATGTTGCGTACATGTAGGAACACTTCATCTTATGAAATGCTGGGATTTGTAGTTTGGTAGGGCTCAGAATTTTCAGCTGTAGTTCAGAGTTTACTAACACAAAATTCTAAGCACCTCCTCAAACTATAAAGTCCAGGTTTCTGTAGGATGGAGCCATGGTAGTTAAAGCAGGATCAAAGTGCTGTGACTCTGTGTGTATTCAGTCGTTTAGTCGTGTCCGACTCCTCGTGACCCCATGGACCAGAGCACGCCAGGCCCTCCTATCTTCCACCGCCTCCTGGAGTTGTGTCAAATTCATGTTGGTTGCTTCGATGACACTGTCCAACCATCTCATCCTCGCTCGTCCCCTTCTCCTCTTGCCTTCTTTCCAGCATCGGACTTTCCTTTCACTTCCAGGCACGTCCACAGCTGAGCGTCCTTTCGGCTTTGGCCCATCCACTTCATCAGCTCTGGAGCTACTTGTACTTGTCCTCCGCTCTTCCTCAGTAGCATGTTGGACGCCTTTTGACCTGAGGGTCCCATCTTCCAGTGTCATATCTTTTAGCCTTTTGTTTCTGATCATGGGGCATTCTTGGCAAAGATACTGGAGTGGAATTGCCGGTTCCTACCCCAGGTGGATTGCGTTTAGTCAGAACTCTCCACTATGACCTGTCCATCTTGGGTGGCCCTGCACGGCATAGCCCATAGCTTCTCTGAGTTACTCAAGCCCCCTCGCCACGACAAGGCAGCAATCCATGAAGGGGACTGTGACTCTGTAGTGTAGGTAAATTTAAGTGAGGTAAATTTAAGGGGTGATTGTAGCAATTCCACACATGTACATGACTTGAGCAGAGATTTGAACCCGGATCTCTTATTTATTATTTATTTATTTATTTATTTAACTTATATGCCGCCCACTCTACCCAAAGGTCTCTGGGCAGCTTACAACAATTAAAATTCAATTAAAATACAATAAAAGATAAATTGATTAAAATACAATTAAAATTGCCATCAGAACTCACAGCTGATGTTATTTCAATTAAAAGCCTTCTGAAACAGGAAGGTTTTGACCTGGCGCCAAAATGTCATCAGCGTCGGTGCCAGACGAATTTCAGTCGGGAGGGCATTCCATAGTCTGGGGGCAGC